ATTCTGGATTGTGGAATAATTAGAATTGAAGATCTATTTGCTATGACTTATTGCTATTAAATTTTATGTTGGATTTTATGAAGTGAGGATCAAGTGTTTTGGATTTGACCAACTTTTCGTACATGTTAATAAAGATGGAGTTTCTTATAGAATTTAATTTTATTGTATTTGGACACTAAAAGTTGTTTCGTTAAGGTAGCCTTACACATTTATGGGGTCATCCCTATAGATGTGTGGCGTTTGTTACGTCTTGACCTTGGGGTTGGGGCGTGACAAATTTTGTGGTATCAGAGCTTAGGTTTGAAATCTTTTGAGCCAAATTTAGGGTTCTAAGCCTAGACACGTGGTGAGCAAAAGTGGGGATCTATATAGTAATGGGACATCAATGCATCATTAGCTTTGCATGTGTTTTCAAAAATTTGTTGATCATTTAGAATATAGATTACGTGTTGGCACCCCTATTAGGGGTAAGTGACTAATCGAGTATATGTGGGATGATACTTCTCTTTGAATTCTTCATCCTTGCTATCCATTACTTCACCGTCATCTTGGTTGTAGACTTGATTAGTGGAGCTTATGCTAATTAGAATTACCATTGGAAGATAGTGAATTTTTGATTTCTAATAAATGAGAATTTAGTTATTTGGTAGTATTGGAAGTCCACTCCTGTAAAATTGTCTATATTGCAACTTGGTTGAATATTAAGAATGATGTAGATTACTTGGAGATAGTTTTATTCACAATATGAAAAGTTGCAATTTGACTTAAATAGAAAGTGAATTGAGAGCTTGTTAAGGGGGTCTTAATTCTTTAGCTTTTAATTAAGGTAATTCCTCCAAGCCTTGTTTCCTTTTGTGTGTGTGTATATATATATATATATGCATAGAATTATATCATTGACTTCTCAACATTTCCATCAGGAATTGGAGTTGACTATGAAGATTGGAGTTTTTCAATTACTTGAACTTTTCTAGGCTAAAGTGGATATGATTTTGGTGAAATTGAAATGTGGTATTATTCTAATAGTGATTTTTGGGTTGATATTGGGAGACTAGTTGGAATTAGATGAAGATTTGGAGACGAAGATTTGGAGTCTATATTAGTTATTATTATTATTTTGAGTTAGTTTGGATTTATTTACTATTCTAATGTTGTTAGAATGTTGAGTTGGTTAGCGAGATTTTTTTTTATGATATCTGGAGAGAAAAAAAAATTATTATATAGAATAATTTCTGCCTGCTGATATCAGTCTAAGATCATTTAATCAACTAGATTGGCTTATGAGGAGATGGATTTTTTTTTAATTTAATCGAGGGGTTGTGTTAGTGCGGCTATGATTTTAGAATATGAAATGTTTCCTTGACGGATTTGCAAACAATTGAGTTGAGTTAATTATAATTACAAGGTTCGAACATCTTAGACATAGAATTGGAATGGTTTCTAGTGTTGCCTTTACGTTTTGTAAGTTTACACCATATGACGAAATTTGGGCAGTTCATAGCTGTTAAAAAAAAAAAAAAAGAGGTTATATTATGAATTTATTGGAGAAAAATGTATGGGAATGATTGATTAATTGGATAATGGATGAGGAGCATAGAACTTATTAATGAGGTTGGTTTAAAATTTTACCCAAATGTGTTTCCTTATTATGAAAAGGAGAATGTGATTTTATCTCTTAAGAATATGTTGAATTAAGTAGATTCAAGGTACGGAAATACAACTAGAATCTTAAACATATTAAGATAGTAGGTGTCTTTGTAGTTTAAGAATGGTTTACATTATGATGAATGGTTATGAGGTTTGAGAAAGGTAAGGAGCAGTTTTGAGGAGATGTACCATATTGTACTGTAAAGTACATATACAATGGAGTTTGGAGATGTGAGATGGTTAATATTAGGAATTATAATGATTGTCCTTTGGGAAATGCTAATCAGGTTGTTGTACTTAGAAGTTTAAAAGTTTAAAGGCATTTAGCACTAAAAGAGAAATATGTAAGATATAGAGCTTGTGTTTCTTTTAATCATTTTAGAGATGAGGCATAAGTTAATTTATTGATTTTGTTGGATTATCTTTGTGTGAAGGAGTTTTATTCATGATATTAATATATT